GGAGCCACTGTGAATCTGGGGAAGCTCTGGAGCACAGGGCGTGATGGTACTTCTGTGAGCCTCCTTCTGGATGCACAGTGAGATTCTCACCAGCCTGCCCTGAATGGATGGTTACCTGCAGCTAGACAGTAGTTTCATTACAAATCTTTGCAATCAAAAATATCCATGTGTTCTATTTCCCCAAGTGGAAGCCTCTGCTGTCCCCCTGGGTTCCATGGGCATGTCCAGTGAATGCTGTTTTCTGGCTTTGTCCTCTTATGGGGGCCAAGTCCAGAGCAGTTGCTAAGGTGGGTCCTGCCCGCTGTGGTCCCTCCCTCTGCAGGTCCCCACTGCCTGGCAGCCCTTTTCCTGGCTTCTTCGCAGGGACAGAAGTAACTTTCGCAGTTCCTCTTTCCAAGAAGCTGGTGTTTTCTCAGCCTTTCTAGACACTTCCTTTTCATTTCCTGGGAAAGCCTGTCCTCTCCCAGCTGCAGGAACCGTCCCTGCTGACTTGAGGAGCATCCTCCCACCATCACACAGATCTTTCTGGACCAGCACCTTAGGCTCTCCCTCCCCACTGCGCTGGGCTTCCTTCTGCTCTGTGGAGCTACTTGGGAGGCTTCCCCTGGGTCCTCCAATGCGTCTGCTGCCTTCCGCTCTCTCTGTGTTCCGTTGCCGCAGTAGGCTTTCCTTGAGAGCATACGGTTTTTCATTTTTGGTTGAATTTTGCTTCATACCTACAAAGGGTCAAGTGGCACCAATTCCCACCCTCAGTGATGGATGGAAAAAAAGGTGGTACCAATGCTTGCAATACAAAATCAGTGTTTCACCACAGAGAAGCCAAATTGACCATCGGAGGTAGGCACAGAGTGTTGAGAGTGTTGTGGTTGATTCTCATGATGCAAGGCCTCGTGACACAAGTTCTGTGTGCTGCCACACGGGAAGTGGCCATGTCATTGCAGGTTTTTACCTTTCCCTGCTGTTGAGTTATCAGCCTGCTCTTTTGTAACATGAAATAAGGGTACAGAAGTTCTGAGGTGTCTTTCTGGAAGGGACAATTCCCGTGTACAAGCATGCTTATGTTTTCTAGAAAGCAGGCTAAGGATTCTAGGGGTGAAGCCAAAAAGACTCAATAGATTTTGGTCAAAATGCCTCCAGTTGCGGAAACTCAACAGCAAAAGGACAGATGTCACTCAGCACCTGGGAGCGACAGCCAATCAATTCTTTTATCACCCGTGCAGAAAGAGAAAATCCTGATTTAACAGAGTGTTGATAGTGAGTAATTACTAACTGAAGAAACAGTTTTGACAGTGACTCATTTGTTCTTATTTTAATAACATAAAAACACACTCTGTTTCTCAAACCTGTTACCATCTTTGCAGTTTCCTTATTGCATCATTCAGGAATTAGTCTTATTAGAATCGGCAATCTAACCTAAATCATTACAGCAGCGATGCCACTCGCCCTGTGAAAGTGCTGTTGTGAAATTCAGAAATCTCGGTTGGGCATACAGATGATGCTTTGGCTGTACTCTTGAATTCCTGTTTTAAAAATAAGGATGTTGTGAGTTCAATACTTTGCTGGTGGAAAGTGATTTTACGTACATGAGTTGGAATAAAAGATGCTGCACAAGCTCCCTCTTTTCAGTTAGAAGAATTTACAAATTTACTTATCTGTGTCATTTTTTTTAACTGAGGTTAATTGACAAATGCCTCATATGAAATAACATTGCAAGCAATAATTGACAGCAAAAGCACCCAGTATGTCTTGGAAATCCGTGTGAAGATCTGCTATCTGACCGTGGCTGCTTCTATAGGTTACTAAGAAGTTGTGTTTTCTCTGCCAGTCTCCCTTTGTGGAGGAGGCTTTGGCAAATATACACATATTGCACTTTTTCTGATCTATTAATCAAGTTTGAGTTTGCATGCATCATCTAGAAGCGGATTAAGCAAATTGTCTACCTCTTGTTTTTTAATTGCTTTGACAACTTTCTCTCTCTTCTTTCAGGTAAAAAACCCCCAAGATGCAAAGCATGCACTGGATAGATAGCCTTGGTCTCCATGCCCCTCACCCCTTTTGGGGAGAGGGGGTACAGAGAGCAGCACCGTTTGCCACAAGATGGAGCTCTGCGGATGACGTTTTGTGAGTTTTGCTGATTAAGAATCTAATTTCCCCTGACAACTGGGGTGCATGAGGCACCCTGTTATTTCCAAGTCTTCCTAGGCACACTCTCTGACAGGGCTCCTGGCTGCACTGGTTAATGTTCCCACACACAAACAAGAATGTCCCACGTAGAACTGATGCTCTGCCCGCCATGGGAACAGCCGCTTTGTGTGGCTTGACCAACGTTTTCACCTGGAAGCTCCTGCTGCTGCTGGCAGGTTCCGTCAGAGGCAGGCCACAGGCTGGCTTCTGCTGAAGGCTGATTCATCCTTGGTTCTGGCTGAAATCTTGGAGAGAGTGTAAGATTCACTAGAAACGCCCGGGACCCCAGTCAGAAGAGGAGAAGTGAAGTTCCCGGCCTGGGTGGGAGCTCTGCTTGGGCTTGGAGAGCTCGGTGGGCGTCCTTGGCCACACCCCATGGCGCCCCACTTGTTCTTCCTCAGCCCTGTGCTGCACACAGCATCCTGCAGGAGCACCCCCCACGGCCCCAGGCTGAGGACAGGAGGAATGGTCAGCCAGCCGCAGGCTGGTCCAGGCTGGAGTCGCTCAGCGGTGCCGGGGCTGGAGACGCTGACCTCACATTGGAGGAGAGCAGCTTCAGGCCACCAGCGACGGAATAAATTCCTTAACAAGACCAGGAGGAAGCCGGCGCTTGGCGCGGTCCCCTGGCTGGGGCCTCGGGAGCGGAGAAGCTTCCCTTCTCCTGTCTTTACGAGGGCAGGAGAGGGGCAGCCTTCCATGGTGCGCTGATGCTGTCCCTCAGGGGTACATTTTTAGCTGCAGAATTTATGAGTTGCACATTTATTTGATTTGGCTTTTGGTTAATTTTTTTCTCCTCTTGTCAACCTGACAATACGAGGGCAGACGGAGGCAGTCCCTGCAGAAGAGGCTGTAAACGGTGCTCGTGGAGGCGGCTTGGCAGAGGCCGGGAGGTGCCCTCCGCTGCCTCCCGCTCCTCTCTCCCCTCTCCTCTCCGCGGCCCGTTCAGCAAGGCTCAAGCAACTGGAACCCTCCACTCCTAGTAGATAAGTCCTGGAATAAACATGGGTGTGAGTCTCATTAACATTTCCTGTCAGACCCCTAAGCACAGAACCCCCAAATGGCCCCCTAGGCCTCCCCGTAATTTCTGGAAAGCACATAAAAAAGACCAATCGTGGGTATATTTGTGGAAATCACTAGTGGGTGAGGGGTATATGCTTATACGTCAATAACTCTTTCTAACACCACCTTAGCGCAGGTGGTGTGGTGACTCCCCTCATGGAGGGAGAGACCTATGGCATGAGTTTATCACCAATGTCAGGCATCCCGGGAGGTGGCACAAGGAAGATCTTGGTCCTTTCCCCCTTTTAACTGATGTGGAGGTATGGACATTTTGTCACCCTAATGACTCCTGGCTTTGGTTCTTCTGACCATTCCATGTCACAAGAACATAGTGACCCACTTTTCAGAGTGGCAAATATCCTTTAAGGAAAAACTTATGCTCAAAAAGATCCAACAAACAGATGCTTAGTCTGAATGCTTAGAACCGTACAGTGTTGGGTTAGCGCCATTCTGCTCTGCAGCGTGTATCTGAGGGCATTGAAGTCAGTGAGGGAAGATCCACACTGAACGCTAACGAAACCTGTTTGCCATGTTTCATGGCATTGTTTATTTGGGAGGTGTTAGAGTTCACTCCTGGAGAGCTTTTCCTGCCGTGTTTTGTTTTGGGATTCCTAAGTATGACCCTTAGCATGGCCTAACAAAGAAGGACACCGTCATTGGTACCCAAGAAAAACAAATTGCCGGTGGATGGGGGACAGCTTGTGATGAGACTCATCACTTCTTTGAAGGCGTGTTATCAAGTGACTGGGCAGAACTCCGCCTGCAGGAGCCTGATTATAGGCTATGGTGGGGCACATTCAGAGAGAGGAGAACCAATCCAGGGCCCAGTGATGGCCTCTGACTTGGGAGGAAAGCAGGTGTGGGGTCCAGTGTAGCACCTGGCAGCCATTTATTAGTCTTAGGAGGGCCCTGCAGTACTGGACTTACTCAGGGGACGGTGGTTGTAAATCGGGACCTCAGCACACAGGGAGTGCTCTGCTGGCGCGCACAGAAGCTTGGGACTTGCCGTTTTCTGGTCCTCACCTTGGCTTGTAAGCAGAAAGAAATTGGGTCAGCACCAGATGCACTTCACATTCTATCTCCCTCTCAGCACTGAACTATTTTAGCCACCTTTCCCCTGGGAAGGGCCACCTTGTCCAAGTGATGGTGGCCAATGTCTCAATGAAAACGGATCTTGAGTCCTTCCGAACGGCTGAGTGATGCCTTTGCTGACCTTTGCCCAAGAGGCCAAAGCAGCTGCATCAGGCACCTGTAGCTGAGCCTTGGCCTTGCTTCCTCCATCACCAACTCCACCCTCCACACCTGTGTCTTCCCGGGTGCCGAGTGCCCTCCCTTCTCCTAATCTCACACTTCCTCCTCCAGCACCTTTGCTCCTGGCCTCCACCTCCACCCAGTTGATTCCCTCTGTGCATCTGTTGCTCCAGTACTGTCATCCTCTCTCCTCCACAGCACTGAGCAGAGTGAAGAATGGATCTGAGTTTTGGACTCCTGGCTGGGAGCTCTGGAGAGGTGGCCACCTAAGGAATCTCGCCTGTCAGATAGTAGGAAGTTGACTGCCAGCCTCCCATTATGACCTCCCCAGGGATGGGCCAGCCACTCTTGGCCATGCCAGATTTAGTTTCCTGTTCCACAGATGATCTTGATGGAACAGAAAAATTTTGAGTTGATTATAAGCCTCTTCTATGTCCTTCAGAATTTGCTGGGGTTTTTGCAACTGACTTCAGGATTTTGAGTACAAGGATAACATTCGTGAGCAATGGGCAATAAAAGTCCAAGTCTTTGCTCAGAATTGAGGGTAACTGGGCTTTTGGAGTGGACAGTCTCAGCTGAAACTTCACATGTTTATGTGTAATTTCATGCAGACACACCCAAGCCAAAGGGAAGTCAGAATTAGGAAATGCCGGACTTGGCTGCGATGGCTGCGGGGCTGACGAGAAACTGCTAACGTCCATGTGGAGCCACTCTAGGGTTTATAAGAACATAATGGATGGAGAAGAGAAAACCCATGGTGGCCGTGAAGGCCCTGATGCCGTGTATGTCAAGTCGATGTCTTCTGATGGTCATGAATGTATTGTAAAAAGAGAACATGCACTAACCTCAGGAACAATAAAAACCATGGTGAGTAGCCCAGGTAAGTTTGCTGAAAATGAAACTAATGAGGTCCATTTTAGAGAGATCCCTTCACATGTGCTATCAAAAATATGCATGTGTTTTACCTACAAGGTTCGCTACACTAACAGCTCCACTGGGATTCCCGAGTTCCCAATTGCACCTGAAATTGCACTGGAACTGTTGATGGCTTTGAACTTCCTAGATTGTTAAATAAAATTAATTATAATAAACTGTTAATTTTTTCAGTATTTAATATTTGTAATTCAGTTAGTAATTTTTTTCACATATAGCATGTTGCCTGTATGCAATTGAACTACAAATTTAATTGCAAAGCAGATTTTCTTCTGTTCTTTTGCATAGCAATCAAAGTTGAAATTTGTTTACTACATCAACAAATTAAGGACATTTTCACAAACTGAGAAATAAACAATTAGGCCAACTTGTAGGTGGTTTTACTTATCCTATGGATGTGACTTTTCAAATTAGAACAATGATAATTCAATAAATGCTAAAATACAGGCATAAACAAACATGTTCTACAGGTAAATAATGGGGCTATATAATTTTTTTTGTGTTTTTTAAAAAACTTATTCTGATCTATAGCCACTGATAGCATTACTAGAGTTATACAAATAATTACATCATAAACAGATTTATAACTTAGCCAAAAGTTGATTTTTATAATTCAAAGAATGAGAATTGAAATTTCTTATGTCTTTTTTTGATAAACCACGGTATTATTTAAGTGTATCTTGTGTTTTATTTATTGCTACACTTTAAGAACTTTATTTAAAAACAATTTGGAAGATCACTAGGTACAACTTTAAAATAGTAACTGCTTGAACTCTGACCCATGGTCAACAAGTGAACTTCACGACTTAGATCCTGTTCCTGGTTCATTTGGGGCAATCCAAAGTAGTGTACTTTCAAACTTCTTTTGCAATCAAAATCTCATTCTTCATAGTTCCTCATGAATATACTTCTTTTTGCTTAAGTATGTTTTAAAACACTCATTATGAGTTTTATCCAGATCTTAAAGATAGATTTTTTTGAACAATACCTATCTTCCTCCATCAAATGTTATAAAGTATGAAAAATGTTGAGCAATGTAGTAAAAAAATCTTATAATACACTTAGATATAGTACATGAATTATCTTCTATTAATTAAAGTATATTCCTATAAATATGGTATCTTAATGATGGGTTTTATGAAGTCAGACTTATGAGGAGATCATTCAAATTTAAGCAAACAAAGAGCATGAGAAACCGACAGAGCATCTTTGCGTATGTTTGGGAGAAGAATCACTGAAGCTGGGTTTAGTATTGTCTGTTTTAATACAGTAAAGCTGTGATTTTGAGGTCTATAAACTTAAGTCTTCACCTTATTATTAAGACTAGCTTAATATAGACCAGTTTTTCTGGAAAACTTCAAAAATCATAAAATAATTTTTCCTCTTAGAAAACCTAAATATTATCATTTATAGCTTATTAAAAACAGTTAATATAACACATATTTTTAGTAATTTAAACATTCTGGTACATGGGCTGGGGTTGTGGTTCAGTGACAGAGTACTTGCCTCACATATGTGAGGCACTGGGTTCGATCCTCAGCACCACATTAAAAATAAATAAACAAAATAAAGATATTGTGCCCATGTATAACTAATTTAAAAAAAAATTAAAAACATATTGGTACATACTTTAGAAGATATGTGTAAGTACAAGATCTTCTGGGGCTGGGGATGTAGCTCAGTGATAGAGTGCTTTGAGGCACTAGGTTTGATCCCCAGTAAGGTGGGGAGTGGGAGGCTGCTACTTAGTAATCAATAATAGCCATTAGAAACCTATATGATGGTTTCTAAAGGTGAGAGCTGGAAATAAAGTTGGACCAGTTTTTGTAGGTTACTTTGTGTTGGATCCAGAAGTAATCTTAAGTTTAGGACATTAAAATAAAACTGGAATGAAGACCAGACAAAACCTGTGTATCTTGCAGCAAATGGTACTTGCATCTTAATAAAGGCTGATAGACTAAAAGGTTAAAAAAAATTAGGAAATGCCATTTAAAAATTATTTTATGATTTTATTAGGACTTCTATTTCTAGAAAGTTTGTTATCTACTTTTTACTTGTTTATTTTAATGTAATTAATATTTTTTTCAAAAAAAACTTATTTAATTACCTATTGGATTTTTTTCAATGAAAATCTTCTCATAAGAAATAGGAAGAGATTTAAGTGAAGTGGACACAGTTTCTCTCTTGTTTTTATAAAGCAATCTTTGGTTCTTGCAGAGTAGGCCCTTTTCCTCAGCTACCAGGCTGATGCAGACTCCAGCTGCCTACACCCCAGCACCCCATACCTGCAGAATGCTCTACCTTCTGCACCCCACACTATCAGCATTCTGTACATTCAGCATCCTATACCTTTGCAGTGAAGAGTATCCCGAGTGATCTGCTTTGTTCATGACTTAATTATGTTATTTTACTGTTCTTGAAAACCTAATACCAGGCAAATTTACATTACTGTGTTCTTAATTAGCCAATAATCCTTAAGGATTTGAATGATACATATCCCAAAGTAATTTCCTTCCTCACTAAATATGAGTTTTCTTGCATCAGGTTAGGAAGACAGGACAATGACAGGAGGCATCTTGGTGATGACAGCCCTCAACAGGTCTGTCTCCTGAGTCACACTGCGTTAAAAGCCAGAGAGGGTTTCAGCAGCATCATGAAGCACGTCATAGGAAATCAATAGATACACTGTGTTGTTGGCTATGACGAGCTTAGCTCTTCATCAGAAGGCAAAACCCTGCCAGTGCAGCTTCTAGCCTTTCAATTAAGTCAGCCGCGCATTTCTGTGCCTATAATCCACAGCCTCCCTGTTGGCTGCACACCTTTGGCTAGAAACACGTGCATGTCCCCCACATAGGACCCACGGACAACTGGCTGGCACCTGCAGTTGCCTTGGGTACTGCAGAGCCCAGTTCAGAATGCTTCCACCTCTGTTCACGCGAGAATCTCCCCACTCTGGCTGCCCCACTGTCCCTATGACTTCCTTCCTCATGGGACCTAATTCATCCAGCTCTCCCTTGGGTTGCATGTGGCCAGGGGCTTTTGGGTGGGTGGGTGGGGTTGGTCTACGCCAGGGCTTCTCCAGTTACTTAGTCAACTAGATAGTGAATGCTTGTCCTGTTCAGCTAGATAGTAAGACATCTGTCCAGAGTCACAGTGAGCACACTTAGGTAGTTAGGTGTGCGGTATGTTCAGATCTACAGGGGGACCCAAATTTCAATTGAAAATTCTAGACAATTAATGAAATGGATATCATTAATTTAGGTTTGCAACGCATGATGGTCTAGGCCAATCATCACTTTTCCGAGCTAGAGATTGGTTTAGGCAAAAACGTGATAAAATTCTGGCCAATAAGAGGCTGAAGGGTCCCTAGGAGGGGTTTGAATGACCAAAAAAGAGATGAGAGAAGCAAGGTCCCTTTCCGGCTGCTTGAATGGGTCCCCAAAGTGAAACAAGACAGGAGAGGGCTCGATGGCAGATGGCAAAGGGCAAGAGGATGGCCGCCGGGTCCTTGCGTGCTGGGAAACTTGCGATTCACGGAGCCCGAGCAGGAGTCCTTGTGAGATGAGTCTCCTGAGTTTAACCAGTCCTGTGGAGTCCTCTGTCCCTTGCCATACAGAGCTTCCTAATATGCTTCTTGACAGTGTCTAGGAATCAGCTTGCAAGTGTCTGCGGTCACTGATGTCGAGGGATACCCGTTGCTTTTCAATTAAAAGAGTAAGATGAACTTGGAACCTGTGTGTCACATCAAGCTTACTGGACATGTGTGGCTTTCGTGGCCCGTGGGACTGGTGTGGGGACCTGACTCAGCAGGCCACTGGAATTCTCGATTTGACCTTTGTGGTTATGGCTCTTCATAGGTGACCTGGAAGGTCTGTGATGCTCAGTCGTTTGTCACTTTGCTGAGCCTGACGTTGGATCCTGTGTGCCGTGAACACTCAGCTACCAGCCTGGAGGACGCAGCTCACGGTGCTCCTGTCTCCAGGGACTCGTCAGCTCTTGACAAGGACTCACTGGCTCCTTGTGATGAGGCGTCCCACCCTCCAGTCGCCTCACGTACCCACACAGCGTTCGTTAATGCTGGAAATATAGAGAAGGTGCAGAAGAGGAAAGAGTGCCAGGCAGTGGAGCTCTGGGCCAAGTGGAGAGCGACGTGCTGGGCAGAGGCTGGATCCAGTGGCTATGGTCCTAGGAGGAGCCATCGAGCCCCTCAGGAGCCACCTGTGGACCCGTGGTGTCTGTGCTTCCCCAGGGCGTCTCGCTGGCTGTTGAAGCTTCTCCCTGGACAGCATCCTGCGTCTGACATCACAGAACACGAGGATGCTCATGGGCCTCACTGCCCCTGATGGGGACCGGCAAAGGCTCTGGACACACCTGCGGTAGGTGAGTCCACAGTAGGAGGACGGCCCAGGCTGGAAGCTGCTCAGTGTCGGGAGGTCATGGTGATGGCTTTGCTTACATGACGCGCATCCTCACAGACGTACCTGGCTTCTACCTGCGATCCCCCTTCCCCAGTGTCGGAGTCTGTCTTCTCCTGTGGAAAATCCAGCTAAGCAATGTTTGGGGTTCATTCTGAAGAAGCTCAGGAATCAGAGGCAGAAGGCGGAGAAAGTGAATCCTTTGGTGACAGTCGGGGAGAACGTGAGGATGCATTCCGAGTGATGACCAGGTCCTGGTCACACGTGCTGGCCACCTGGCATGGCTCTCCTGGGTGGCTCTGCTTGGCTCACAGTCAGCGGTGTGGGCTGAGCATCCTTGGTGACCAGCCTCCCTGTGGAGTCAGACACCTGCCCAGTGCTCCGAGTGGACAACCGGGGCCTGGGACCAGAGGCACCTGGACAGTCAGGGCGGGGCGACGGCTCCTCTGTGAACTTCAGTTCAGATTGGTACGTCCAGGTATCCTTCTTAGGAACATGATGGAGAAGTCAGGTAGGGAGGATCTGGTGAGGGCACCGTGGGACAAGAAGAAGCATGGAAGATTCCAGAGAACTGTGTGGAGCTGCTGAGCCTCAGGAGGGGGGAGGCGCTGCTCTAAGGTCTGTCAAGAGGCTGGTTTCAAAACTCCTCCTTAAAGCTTGCTGGTTCCAACATGGTTTGTCCCCCCAAAGCTCGCTTGGACTCATGGCCCTGCAGTGCTCTTG